CCATACCCCTTTTCATGCAGCCCAGGACACTGCTGGTTTCTTTCTGGAAGCACACACTGCCGGCTCATGTTGAGGTTTTTTGTTAACCATCACCCCCAAGTCCTTCTTCTCAAGCTGCTTTCCACCCAGTCTCTGTATCCCAAATTCTTCTGCTTGAGATTGCCCTGACTGAGGGTCAGGACCTTGCACTTGGCCGGTTGAACTGCAAGAGGCTCTCATGGGCCCACCTCTCAAGCCTCCCAGGGTCCCTCCCTATCCCATCATTTCCCTACAGCGTGTCGACCGAACCACACAGCTTGGTGTCATTGGCAGACTTGCTGAGGGCACATCAATCCCACTGTCCAGGTCACCCACAAAGATGTTGAACCAACAGTGCCAGTTGCAATACAGACCCTTGAGGGACACCACTTGTCACCTATCTCCATGTGGACATCAAGCTGTTGACTACAACAGTGCAACCATAAGCCAGTTCCTTACCCACCCAGTGATCCACATGTCAAATACATGCCTCTCCAGTTCAGAGACAGCACATTGCAGTCTGCATCTCCTTCATACTGATTTTTACCCCGTATTTTAAATCTTTTTAACTTTGTAAATGTCAGCTTCCAGAGCCTGCATATTTTGATACTTTTCCTTTAAAGCTGCTATCAGTCATGCTTCTGGAAAGCTCAGTGTTGCCTGAATCTGGCTTTTTGATGGATAATTAACAAGCAGTGTCATGGTACTATTTTTCCTGGTTTGATAAAATGCAGTTCAGAAACAAAGATTTGGTAAGACTTCCCAAGGTCGTATTTACCACAAAAACAAAAACAACTGATTTTTAAGTAAGCTTTCATCAGGTCACCTGAAATGTGCAACTTATGTTAAATTCTAGTGTTTACATTCAATGTATACAAGTACACTTCACAGACATCTTGGTCTGAGTGTGTTTCACGATTCACTAGAAGAAAGATTGAAATGGTACGTAGCCAATTAAAAATCAAAGCCTAATGGATTTGGGACCACAAATTTTGCTGTGGCAAGAACACAAATAAACCTTTGCTCTTGGTCCAAACACTGCTGTTCCACCCCCAATACACCCCCCAGAAACAGCTGGCATAGCAGAAAGTTTCCAACCAGTTACTGCCACAGTATCTCTGATCTCCAGCAATCAGGAGTACAGACTGTCTCCAGCTGATAATCCAAGCAAGACCTCAGACCTTATTTGCAAATGCTGCAGTGTTGTTTGTTAGCATGTAACATAGCACAGCAGCAGTGGAACAAGAAACTAACAATCCTAAATTGTGCATTGCACGAGCTAAACATACGTTTTTAGTAAAATATCTGAATGTACATATGTGAACTTGAAATTCAATAGTCTGATTAATTTCCTAAGTTCAGAAATTCACACAAGAAATATATAGGGTGAAAAAAGCGCCTTTCCATGTTCAGTGTAATAGGAGGCAGTGTTTGTGTCATAGAGGGTGTATCTGTTGCTTTAATTATGATAAATGCATCCCCAAACATTATTGCAATGCAGATACCTTCAGGAAAGCAAATGGTGTATGATGAGTTTGCAGTGCTAAGGCAAAGTTGTGCCTATCTTCTTGATTTTTGAAGTTAGCAGCAAAGTTCCTGATGACTTCAGGAGTCAGCACTCTAGCGTCAGAGTGACTGAGGTTTTGAGCATGCCACTTACTGTGGCTTGGCATATCTACCTATCATATGAGGTGAAGAAAACTTACCTCATGAGCTGTGAAATTAGTTAATGGATGTTTGTAACAATCTTGTGTAATTATCTGTTAATGGTTAAGTCTCTTTTTGTATGTACTGACAGAAAACTTCCTTTCTCTCTCTCCTGGAATTGAGCTGCAAGCAGCACACATAATTGCAGGCTCATGCTATACTGTTCCAAGAAGATGTCTGCTTTTGCAGGTTGGCCTGTGGTGATCTACTGGCCTGATCAACAGCCAGTTTATGTATCCTGCACATCATATGAATACAAGCTTCAGACAAAGATGACAAAGAAAGTGGCAAGTCTTGCTTACCAAGGGCAGGCACTTCCTTGATCCCTGTGATGCGTTTCAGCTTTAGTCATAAAGACCCAGGATGGTTTTCTTGCAGTCATAAGAAGCTAAAGTAATGGATTTCATGTTAATAGTGAGGAGCTGAAGATACAGAACAATAGCAAGTGCATAAATACATACAAGGGCAGATAGAGAGTTGGAAAAAAACCCTTGGTAAACAGAGTAACAGCTGCAGCTATATATTTCCATTTTGACAGACCTTTTGCATGGTTTAAGCCCCATAATTACAATAACGGCAACTGGAATGTGGGCTTCATGAAACCAAAAGACATTAACAGTTAACCACATTTTGAAGACCCAAGTGCTTTGTAACTGAGAAATGCTCAATATTTAACTGCACTTGGAGAACAAAGTAAGCATTTGTACCACTTCAGTTTTGTTCTTGCCTGAGTTCAGAGTAATAGGATCTCAAAGCACTTGTTAGTCACAGCTTCAATTTTTCATGAAAGGACACAGAGGGTACTCAGATTACAGCTGCTCTGAAACCTACCAAGGAGAAGCATAGTAACAATATTATGTATTGCAAACTGTTATGGTTGCCAAAATTGCCAAAACCAAAATCACAGAAAACAGGATTAAAGCTTGTCTGTATAATTAGAGTAACTGTATGAACAGCTCTTAGCAGTTATATACTGTAACATTACAATTATTAAATTCATTCATGGTAACATTGCAAATATTATCATCTACTGTTTCTATTATTTGCAATTTTCCCCTGATACATTCCACTGCTGGTATGAATACCCATGTATTTTAGATGAAACATAATAATTCTCTATATAGTACTTTGTCTGTGGAAAGAATACAAACCCCATGGAATATAGCTGACTAACAATGAAGTTGTTAATTAATCAGCATGCATTTTATAACCTTGCTGACACAAGGTTGCACAGCATTTTAGGAATTTAAGTTTCCAATTTGCTGCATGTTGTCAGCTCTTGGGCAAGTCTGAGACTGTGTACACTCTCAGGGGACTCCACTGAGGAGAGCCAAATGCCTCCAAATTATCTGTAGTGCTGAGCAGGAATGTAACATGTAAAGTGCTTCTCTCTCCAACTCTAATGTGGATCTATGAATTGTACCTACTTTGAGACCTTTTTCTTGTAAAATTCCAGTTGTATGCCAAAATACTGTAGTGTGCAGGAAGTTGGTGTGGCAGTGAAAAGGGGAAGGAACCCTGAGATCTCAGATCACTCAGGTCAGCTGGAATCTCATTACGATAGCAGACAAAAAGAAACCATCAGGAACAGACACGCAGTCATGTGTAGCTTTTCATAAAATAGAGAAATGGTATAACTTTTGTATTTTCTAATTTTCTAAAGTCTCTTTAAATGAGTTTAAAACACATTTTAAGTTAGACTTGGTCTTGCAAAACACCACTTATTTTTTACTACCTTAAGAGGGGAGGTACACGTATCCTTAGAAATGTTTTGTTGTGGTTTTATCAGTGCTGGATTAAATCTCTGAAATGATGCAAAAGAAATAGCCTTGGGCTTCACAAACTTGAAATTAGTGTGTTAATAAATTAGAGTAACAAGAAAAGCATACATCTTTGGTAAATCTTAATGATCAGTTGTCTAGCTACCACTACTACCTTACTGGCATTCACAGAAACATAGAATAGTTTGGGTTGGAAAGGACCTCAAGATCATCTAGTTCCACACCCCCCCACCCCCCCATGAACACGGACACCTCACACTAAACCATCTCACCCAAGGCTTCGTCCAACCTGGCCTTGAACACTGCCAGGGATGGCGCATTCACAACTTTCCTGGGCAACCCATTCCACTTCCTCATCACCCTAACAGTAAAGAACTTCCTCCTTATATCCAATCTAAACTTCCCCTGTTTTAAGTTTTAACCCATTACCCCTTGTCCTATCTCTACAGTCCCTACTAAAGAGTCCTTCCCCAGCATCCTTACAGGCTCCCTTCACATACTGGAAGGCTGCTATGAGGTCTCCACACAGCCTTCTCTTCTCCAGGCTGAACAGCCCCAACTTTCTCAGCCTATCTTCATACAGGAGGTGCTCCAGTCCCTGATCATCCTCGTGGTCTCCTCTGGACTTGTTCCAACAGTTCCATGTCCTTTTTATGTTGAGAACACAAGAACTGCACACAATACTCCAGGTGAGGTCTCACGAGAACAGAGTAGAAGGGCAGGATCACCTCCTTCGACCTGCTGGTCATGCTCCTTTTGATGCAGCCCAGGATATGGTTGGCTTTCCGGGCCGCGACTGCACACTGAAGCCAGCTTGTGTTCAGTTTCCCATCGACCAGCACCCCCAAGTCCTTCTCCGCAGGGCTGCTCTGAATCTCTTCTCCGCCCAGCCTGTAGCTGTGCCTGGGATTGCTCCCATTCAGGTGTAGGACCTTGCACCTGGCATGGTTAAACTTCATAAGGTTGGCATCAGCCCACCTCACAAGTGTGTCGAGGTCCCTCTGGATGGCATTCCTTCCCTCCAGCGGATCAACCACTACCCATTCGTGAAATGGTTTGTGTGAGAAGGGACCTGAAACATCACCTGCTTTTTTTCTCTCCCTATCACGGGACAATCCGGAGCTGAAGCGCTGTCTGCCCCTCGCTGCTGTTCTCCTTCACAAACGCACTTTCTGAGGCCCACACGCTCACCGCCCCCGCCTCGACCCCCCCCCGCTCTCAGCGGGCTGCTCCATTCCCGGCGCGGGCAGCGCGGGGAACACTCCCGCCCCCCGCGCGCGTCACCAATCCGGCGGCGGAACCGGCCCCTTGGGGGCGGGGGTCGGAGCGCGGGAGCGCGCCCCGCCCCGCCCCTGCCGCACGGGCGCCGCGGTGGGCGGGGCTTGTCCTGCGCCGGGGAGCGGCGCCTTTGTGGAGGGGCTGTGCGGGGGCGGGCGGAGCCCGGTGAGGTTCAGCAGGCTGCGGTCGGCGCCGCGGCCCCGCGCTTTTGCCCGGCGCTCTGGCGGCAGCGGCAGAACCAGCGGCGACAGCAGCAGGAGCAGCGGCGAGCATGTCCTCGAGCAGGGCCAAGAAAGTGAAGATGGCCACCAAGTCCTGCCCGGAGTGCGACCAGCAGGTGAGGCGGCCGCCGGGCCCGCTCCCCGCTCGGGCCGGGGGGAATAGTGACCACGGGGTTCAGAGGGCGGCCCTTCAAGCGGGGAGGGCGCTGCCCCTCACTGCCCCCTGCTTCTGAGGCAGGGCGAGGGAATTGCCCCGCCAGCCCGTGGTCGGGGCTGCCTGTCCCAGGCCGGCGGGCAGCCACGTAGCGGAGGGCTCTCCGGCCGTTTCAGCGGGGACAGGTGTCGGTGCGGCTGACGGGAGGGATGTGAGCCAGTGGAGTCCCGCGTCCCTCGGCTGTGGTCGGTGAGGGCAGCGGGGCCGAGCTGAACTCCGGCCGCTCGCAGCCGGCTTCCCGTTCCCGGGGCGCCGGGCCGGGCCGCACCCCGAGCCAGCGCATCCCGGTGGGCGCCCTGCTTCCTCCTTGTCGTGTGACACCCTCCGCCGCAAAGTAGGCTTCTATAGCGCTGGGGCGAGGAGCTATCGGGCGAGCCGCTTGGTTCACTAAAGCGTTTCCGTGCCTCTGAAGCAACGTTTGTATGAGGTAAATGTTGCCTTTGCAGTCTCTGCGTGTAATGTGGGTGAAACACCGTCTTCCTCTTGCAGGGTAGCATGATAGTTACATTATGCTGAAAGATTTCTGTGTGGTGTGAAGAATTATATGTTAGTATTGTTTAGAAACGATATTAATAATATAACGAACTTGGTAATTTGTGCAGTGCATTTTGCCTTTTGAATGAATAACGAGCCTAAGGCTACCTGGGAGAGCCTTCAGTTTTCTCATGGAGTAGCTCAGAAACAGCAAAATTTAGACCTTTGCTGCCATTTCTGTTGTGTGCCTTACTGCGGTTTTGTTATGGGTACAGAATACAGCTGCTTAAAGTTAACAGCAGCTGATTTTCACAGTTATAGTATAGGAGCTGTCTTCATCTGTGCTTTTTGCTGGTGAGGATGTTGCTGTTAAAACCAGGCCGTGTGATGGGGACAGCAGCACACCTCTGCAGGAGGCTGCCGGGGGCTTCTGCGTGTGACCCTGGGGAACAGAGTTCTGTTGTTGGACTTTAGAACTGAGCTGCTGCACACTGTTGCAGCTATACTTAAAAAAAAATAAAAGGCTGTTTTTTGTTGTTTTTTTTTAATTTTTTTTTACTTACGAGGGCTAAAAAGAAGTCATTTGTTCTGACTTGCATAGATTTTATAGCGTTTCTGCTCATTCTGGAGCAGTTTGGAAAGTTAAGCTGTGTAGGGCCATCCTTTCGTGTTTTAAGCAATAGATGAACCCTTGCAAATGCTCATGTGTTGAGCATATCACTGAAGTACTATTCCTGAGAAAAAAGTAGTGTGCCAAGTTCTGCTTGTTCGTTGGTGAAAGAAGAAATTAAAATGAGCAAAGAGTTGAATATGCAAGGAAGGGGTGCTGTTTTTTTTTTTGAGAATAACTGTAGTGGATGTCAAACTACCAACAGTAGGAAGAGCAAGGAAGCAAACAGGCTCTCACAGGCTCTTTAATGCTGAGCCTTTCACATTGTTCTGTGCTTTAAAACTGAAATACATGGCATACATGTGTAGATTTAGGACAAGAGGTAACAGCCTCAAGCTGCACCAGGGGATGTTTAGACTGGAAATTAGAGTCAGTTTCTTCCCCTAAGGGCACTCAGGCATTGGAGCAGGCTGGCCAGGACAGTGGTGGAGTCACCATCCCTGGAAGTGTTTACAAACTATGTAGGTGAGGCCCTTTGTGACATGTTTAGTGATGGCCTTGGCAAATGCTTGGCAGTGCTGGGGAATGGTTGGACTTGATGATCTTAAAGGTCTTTTCCAGCAGAGTTGATTCTGTGATTCTAATGTAAATTTTCTGTTAGCAGCGCTTCCATGGCTAACACAGAATTAATGTTCATTGTATGTGCCCTGCCCTGGCACAAGCATTGCTTGTAGGACCTTGCTGTCCAGTCCCAAAAGTTTGAGGGAAGACAAGAAACTAAACCCACAGTACAAGTCAGGTGTGGAAAGGCTCTGTGTGACTCTTTAAGTGGTTGTCCTATGCTAGCATTTCTTAAATTCTTCTAAGAGCTATGCATTTATTTCTGATTTCTTTGCTAGAAGTGGCATGCTTGGAAATATTTAGACAACCACAAATATTGGAGTGTAATATTGAGTAACACTACTTAGACTGTTGTAATTTAGATCATATGTAGTTGCCATTTAGGCTTCTTTTTATTAATAAAAAAAAGGGTTTTGATATTTTCACAGTCAAAGCATAGCTCCATTTAACTGGGGAGCATGAAGAACTTGCGGTCAGAAGAAGTAATTATCACTTCTTAATTTTGCTTCAGGTAAATTTTCTTGTTCAAGAAACTAATTTTCTTTTGTTTACAGAAATGTTAAACAGAGTAAACCGGTGTTTGTAGGGCTATGTTGCGCTGTCAGTGTAGGTCTTTGAAGGATAACTGGTATGGTTCACTGAATAAGCCCCTTCCCCCCTAATCTCACACTCCCAAACACACACACACACACCACCTATGTGCTGAACCTGTAACACAAGAACAATCTTGTTCTGTTATGTACAGTTAAGTTCATTGAGAAGTACTGGGTCTGTTCCAACCCCTTTGAGTGATTTTCACCAAATTATTTTAGGCTGACTCTGTGTCCTTGTTTTAGCAGTAGCAGTCATTTTTCTCCTTCTTGGTAGCTGGTGCAGAGCTGTGTTTTGACTTCCAGCCTGGGAACAGTGCTGATACTACTGATGTTTTCAGTTGTTGCTAAGTAATGTTTACCCTGACCAAGGACTTTGTGAGGCTTATGCTCTGCCAGGGAAGAGGGGAAGCCAGGAGGAAGGAGAGACAGGACACCCGACCCAAACTGACCAAAGAGGTGTTCCATACCACCGCACGTCATGCCCAGGATGTAACTGAGAGTTACCCAGAAGGGCTGGGACTGCAGGGTTGGAGGAGATATCGTTTGGTGCTTGGTCGGGCTGGGGGGGGGGCAAGTTATCAGTTGGCTGGTGCTGAGGTGTTGTATTCTCTTTTCTTTGAAACATAATTATTGGAGAGACCCTGGTGTTCAAAGCTGGGTTTAAATGGAGACTCCTCTATCACCTTAAAGATACTATCTCTCTGCTAGATAGTGTTTTCTAGTACTCTTATACTGACATACGAATAAGGAGATAAGCATGTACACAGTCAGCTAAATTCTGAGCTTTAAGGTTCAATAAACCTTGATTAGAGTTTGTTTTTTTTTTTTTTATTATGTCATTGTCTCCATAAAGTGAATTAAAAGGTCTCTAGTTAGAGAAAACCTGAGTCAAAATCTTATCTGTAAGCTGTTTGTAGGGTGAAGTAGAAGAGTTAAGATGTGCTACAGAAAGCAAAATAACTTGTTTATTCTGAGTAGCAGTTAAGTTCCCCTTTACAAATTCAGGTACTAACTTGGCAGGTCTTTTCATAGCCAGTAGAACACTGGATCTTGGTTCTTGTACGTGTCCAGTAAAACTGAGCAGGTAGTCATGGTTCTGTACTCTGTGGACACTGGCAAACTTGCAGAGACCTGTCTTAAAGAATTACTTTTCAGAAATTATCTCCTGCTTTTTTTCCCCCCACTGTTGTGCTTCAACACACGTTAACTTTAATGTGTGATCTTAATCTTTTCCAGATCTTTGTTTAAACTTGCTTTGTGTTTTCAGTCTTAAGCCTAATAAAAGCAATATTGTGTATTCTGTACTACTTTAAAAGATCTCGGCTTTAAGTGAACCTAATGAAGTTTGTTATTTATCAGCATCCCTTTTTTTAATTGTTCAGAGTAAGGTTTTTGTCATTTTTCGTGTAAGTGTGACATTTCCAGCTGTTCTCATCTTAAGTTGTGTTATGCTTGGGGGACTGTACTGCTCCTGACAGCTTTGCTGAGGAGGAGGAGCACTGGAGTCTCAAACCTTTCAGTCTCCAGTCAGCTTTGTCTAGCTGTGATAGATTGAGTTTTGTGTTAAGCAGGCCCTTGTGTAACCACACAGTCTGTTTGCAGGCTGTTGTGGAGTGTGGTACAGATGCATTTGGTTTGCTTCGGGTCTCTTGTACCTTCTGTTTGAAGCTGCTCCTGCTCTGTACAGGGGTTGCTTTCAGATGCTTCTCAAAGTAAATGGATTCAGAATGTACTGACACTTTTAACTCACACTTTTTCTTTAATTGTTTTTTAGAAGTAAATGAAGGAAGCAAACCTTGGAATGTCTAACTGATTTGACTGGGGATATTTGAGAGTTCTAAGAGAAATTGTATTTCTGCTCTAATTCAGCCTTGCTTTATTGCTCTCTACTTCACCTTCTTCCTGACAGTCTGGGGAGGAGGGTTTGTAATATAAAGCAGTCACAAACTCTGATTTTCAAACTTGGTTTCTAGCAACTGCATAAAGAAAAGGCTTGCTAGGTGATTCACAGCAGAACCTGTTTTTACTATGCTTAGATACAATTATGTAATAGTACAGGCCAAAGTTTGTAGAACAGACTGAATTTGAAGAGGTATCTCCAAGGACAAAATGCAAGTTACTAGGGTTTTTTTTTCTTCATTGGACAGGAATTTTGTCAGAATTTGAAATGAACTGAAATATTTGTCTTTTATTCTCCCAGGTTCCTGTTGCATGTAAATCATGTCCCTGTGGCTACATATTTATTAGTCGAAAACTGTTGCATGCTAAACGTGCTGAGAGATCACCACCCATCACAGGTAATACTTACAGAGGTGGGAAGAAGGGGGAACAATAGTTCTTTCTTCTTACTTGTAGGTAAAAGATATTTTGGTTTTCTATGTAAATTGATTGTTGTCAGTTCACTTTCCCTTGAATGTGTGCATGGTTAATTTGAATATGTTAATTTTTCTTGAATTTTGAGGAGGAAAAAAAAAGCTGGTGTTTTCAGTCTTACTTGCTTCATACTTGTGATGTTGGCATTTATTCTGTGTCTAGTCTAGCTACACACATTGGTCACTATGCAAAATAACTCTGTAGGTTTAAATTTTAAACTTAACAACAGTTTGTGTGCCTTTAATGTAGCAGAATAGAGCAAACTATTCCAACTTACTAACACGTAGAGAGAAAGGAATGTTCAGCTGATGGGGGAAGGAGCATCAACAACTGATAACAACTATGGAGACAATAAATAAGACTAAGGATGCCAGCCTTCAAAGTAGCCCAGTGTGTAGTGAGACTGGAACAGGACAGAAGCAAGGACATACCAACTGCTAACTCGGCGCTAGGACCTTGCAAGCTTGCGCAAGCACTGAGGTCATTCAGTAAACACAGTGAGGAAGACTGTCAGCAACCACCAAAGACCCCCACTCAGCAAGAAAGCACATGCTTAATTAGGATGCAAATATTATAATTAGTTCCTGGAAATCTCATGAATACAGAAACAGTTTCCTGGAAAATCTGTGGATATGAATGAGTATGCTAAATATATAGCTGCTGCCAGCAAGTAACAGGTGCGCTCACATTTGCAAAGCTATTTGTGTATGTGCCCAGCTCTGCAATAAAGAATGCCTGCCTTCTAAAACTCCAAATTGAGTCTTAGAGTTTCTCCGATCAACTTTTACAGTAACAGCTCCTTACAGAAAGCTTTCTGTTAATCCTGTTTTGAAGCTTAAAGTCTGGAGGTGCTAAAGGAGTCAGATTTCAGACTACATGCGGATTGAAGACAAATTTTATGAAAATAATAGTTGGTCATATGTTTAATCTAGAACCATGTGCATCTGCTTCTCTCTGCATGGGTTAAAGTAAAAAATTAGTGTGGTTCTCTGTCTAACTTACATACCTTTTGTTATAGATGGGCACAGTAAGAAGCTGGTTGAATGTGCATTCTGGCATGGTTAAGTCTCCTTGTGTTCATTTTTATCACTTCCTCCAGTACTAGTAGGAATCAGTTAGAACAAGCACCTGTCAGGGAAGAGGAAAAAAACCAACAAACCCAACAACCAAAAGTATCTCATCTATAATGTCTGCTTTTTAAAATTACTTACCAGGTCTATAAAATGGAAGCTAAGTATTTGGTATTTTACATTACAATTTTGAAGGATGCTTGTAGTTTGCTAGCACATAGGAATTACATACCATTATACCAGATAACCGAGCTTTCAAGGTGGAGGGAGGAGGTTAAGCAATGCCTGTGGTAGTTTGGAAGTATTGGTCAGTTTTCTTTCCCACCCTCCCCTCCCCAGTTGTTAATAAAGTAGTTACCAAATGAAGCTGAAGGCCATAATCTGGTGAATCAGAGCTCCAGGGGGATCTTATCAATGTATATAAATACCTGAAGAAGGGGTGCTTAGAGGACAGAGCCAGGCTATTTTCAGAGGTGCCAAGTGACAGGATAAGAGGCAATGTGTACAAAAATGCAGGCTGTTCTCTCTGAATATCAGGAAACACTTTTTTACTGTGAGAGTGACAAGCACTGGCACAGGTTGTCCAGAGACATTTTGGAGTCTTCGTCCTCGGAGATACTCGGATGCCATCTGGATGTGGTCCTGGGCAGCTGGCTTTTGGTGGCCTTGCTTGAACAGGAGCATTGGAGAGGTTGATCTCCAGAGGTCCCTTGCTACCTCAGCCTTTTTGGGATAATGTGAAATACAGCTTTCGTATTGACATTACTGACACATTACCCTGCTGTCCAGTGTGTACCTTATGTCTACACAAGATTAGTGGGATAATTGCAGCAAAAAAGAAAACATTTCCCACGAAGGTGTAATGGGAGACCATGTATATCTGTATTGTGCTCATAAGTTAACTGCAACTTCCTTTAGAAAACATTATTGTTGAAAATACTGGGACATAGCTACTGCAGAATCATGCTGCAGCCTTGCAAATGTGCATCTAGTCTGTGTTAATAGTGTGCTGTGGGGACTATTTTTGCACCCAAGCTCACTAATCTCTACTTAATTAACAGGTGAAACTCATGTAAATACTCTTTTCTTTTTTTTTTGACTCTGGCAAGACACCTGGTCAGCATGAAGCATTCTGATGCCTTGTGATAGGCTAGACTTGGTGGGACATATGGACTATGTAATGTGGCATTTACTGACTGCAGCATTGACTCAGCATTTCGATTTGTGTGAGCAGCAGGAATGATTTCATTGATAGTGTCAAAAAAAGATGGAGTACTTTGATGTTTGCCTGCTGTTGGCCTATACGATAAACTTTTTTCTTTGGCTAGTGGAAACAGATACAATGGGCTGTCTTGGTGTTTGTGATATGTACAGTTTTTTTCATCTTACTATGGGAGACAACTTTTGTGTGCTAGCAAATATCTCATTGCAAAATGCATTTGAAGTAATTAAAGGCTTGGCCTTTGCAATCAAGAAATGAAGTGTCGTTGTGGATATGATAGCTTAATTTGTGCATGGGGCAGAAATTTCTGTGCAGATGTAGTTGTTCAGTAAAGTCATCTAACTGCTTTTGCTCAGAGAATTAAAGAAGAAAGGGGTTGGGGAAGGGGCAACTGCTAAGAGTAAATTAGTAAAAAAAGATGAAAACAACCCTAGGTAATACCATATCATCTCTTTTAATTTGCACAGAAAACAAGAATGAGGCCAAAAGGAGACGAACAGAGAGAGTTAAGCGAGAGAAGATAAACTCTACAGTAAATAAAGACTTAGAAAACCGAAAAAGATCCAGGTCTAACAGCCATTCAGACCATAGCAGACGAGGAAGAGGAAGACCTAAGAGTGCCTCAGCCAAAAAACATGAAGAAGAAAGGGGTATGAGAACTGAAAAAATGTTAATTGTGTTTTCTTTTTGTATAAAGACTTTTTTTTATCAATAAATCTTTATACCTTTCAAACCATTTAAGTAAGTAGACTACTTCAGCCAGTACTTGATATCTTAATATGAGGAAGGGGCTGTTTCACATCTGTAGAAAGCTCTGGTTTTGTTTCAGTGTCTGATTGGAACTAACTCCACAGAACTAGTTTGTATTTTTAGCCACTGTATCAAGTTTCAACATCTTTGAAAGCCCTTGGACTGTAGGGTTTAGTAGCTTTTTTTGGTTTCTTTTTTATTATTTTTTTTAAGTACTGCTGCCCTGTATCACAGGGACAAACAATATGATGATGTCTGTTGTCAGAGTGATTAGGGTGACTGGATTGCTCAAGAAGTTCCTTGAAAGCTTTTGGAGAACCAAAATAAAATTGGCATCTTGAGTCAGTACTCTGACCTGAATTTTTTCCTACAGAATAGTGGTTTCTACAGAGTAATGCTCTAGAGGAAAAAATACCTACTGTCTTGCTAAGGTTTCTTGGTGACCTGCTGGTTTTAATCTTTATACAATAAAGAGACGGTTACATGCAGTAGAATAGTCTCAGGTCTTCAAGTATGTGACTATCACTTAGGATTCTTTTGTGGGTTTTTTTGTGGGTTTTTTTTTTTTTTTTTGGAAAGCCTGTTGACACTGTGTTTGCTGTATGTGGTTTTGGGGATATTCATTTTAGGCCTGAATAGTGTATCCAAAAGTTAGCATGGATTTAAAAAGGCTGGAAGGCAGACAGGAGGGGAGTAACAAGACTTTATATAAATATTCAGATCTTCTTCTTAAAACTACTGAAATCTTCAAGCATACCTTGCGGCATTAACTCAGAATTGCTTTGTTTTTTCCTGTCACACCTTACTTTTTGAGAAAAAATGGGTGTTAATCCATTGCAAAGTGAGTTCTTTTAAATTCTAACTTTTCAAAACTAATTTTTGTTGTCTCCTCTGTTTAATGTAAATCTGTTCTTTCTTAAAGTTTCTTTTCTATAAAAACAAAGTACAAATTGGGATTTATTCTTTTTTCAGTGCTTTGGCTGTGGAAGGAGGATATGGAATTTCATTTCTGTATGTTTTTTTGGATGGCAATTGCTTTACTGGAATAGGAATACACTTACAATACCTAATCTCTTCAGTGTTGCATGTGGCTTATTGATGTATGCAGCTTCACAGAATATAGAATTTCCCTATTTGTTATTGATCCAAGCTATACTTTAGCACCAATGGAATCATTTCTAGGCATTTAACTGTGGGTCAAGTTCACACATACTTTTGGTTTGAAAATTTCTGCAAGCTGGTTGGGTTGTCCTATAAAAATAAATAATCTTTGCAGTCCTCTGAAAAAGAGGAAAGCAATCTAAGCAAACAGAAGATCCATTCTCTTAATGCATGTTTTATAGTCTCCAAACCCCAAGAATTCAAAAACATGAGGGATATTTAAAGAATGTTTGTCTGTCCAAACCTGGGCTAAATGTTTTCAACCTTTTGCTGCCTCCTTTGAAGTGTGGCAATATGCAAGTGTTCTGAGGTAGAAATATGGATGCAGTGAGATCTTTGCATGAGACCTCACTGTATGTGCTTTTCTTGGTGTTTGGTATTGTGTTTGGGGTTTTTTTAAGTTGAGTTGCACTTAAGATTGCTTTTGCCTTTTTTGTCCTGTACTACCATCCCATTTACTTGGTGGTGTGACTACTGCTGCTACTTCTGCCTAGGCCTCTTCTGCAGAGCTGATACAGACTTGGGTTTGCACTCACCAGTACAGCACACCTAACTGTATAGAAATAAGTGGGATTAGGATATTTTCTTACTTCTTATTTCTGGGTATGTCAGACTGTAACGTGTAGACCGCTGTGGTGATTATTGGGCAGATTGAAAAAAAAAAAAAAAAAAAACAGCTGTCATGGCTATAAATTCAGTAGAGAACCCATAATTTTGTAAGTGATTATTATAAAATGAGTTGATGTTGACTCCTGCCTTTTCAAATCACTTCTAAAATTGACCTGACAACTGTGTGTGGAGTAATCACTGGGAATTTTATAAATATTCTTCCTTTACCAAACCTGCTGCTTTATAGTGGTGTTTACATAAAAGCGTATTAAGCAACTTTAATTCCTCTACTACAACTAAGGTGATTTTTTTGTGTGACTCATTTTATAGTGTTGAAAATTAGGTCTGGAGCACGGGAAATTAGTTTAGTGTCTCTTGGGCTTCTGCAATGCCTGATGTATCTGTAGATGTAAAAACAGGAGAGCAGGGAATATCTGAATTATAATAGCATGCAAGAGCAGATAATCTGTCAATTTGAAGATCACCCAGTGAAGATTTCCTGCCTAAAGGCACCCATGACATCTGTAGCTTTGTTACTGTGCTTGTCAGGCTCTTTTCGTGCATAGCATGGTTGTTCACAGTTAGGTCTGTGCCTTGGACTAACTGTTCTTTTGTATCTTTTGTGAGTGGCTCACATTAGAGCAAAGATCTGCAGGATTCAACAGCAACTAAGAAGAATAGGAAAAGCAAAAAGGCTTTTAAAAATAAGCTATCTTTCCTGCAGATTTAGTAAGAAGGAATGGAGAGGGAGAAAAGAGGAAGGTGACACTGAGGGGATATGACTGAGTGCTGGGACCCAGAGAATCAGCCACGTGATGACCCTGGAAAATAGGAGATTGTCCCTGCAGGCTTGGCTTTTCAGAATTGTCACTTAGTTTCTTTGTCAGAAATGATACAATCTATTTTGAAAATACCTTCATAATAATTCAATTGTGATTTTGTTGTGGAGATGGTATAATTTTTGTTGTACTGTGTGGGACTGCAATACCAACCAGGCTTGTTCCGAGGCTGCCTTGTTACCTACACAACAGCCTTGATTATATTAAAACAAACAAAAAACCTCTCAGATGGTGGAGGAAGTGGTATTGGTTGTTCAGAAAGAGAAGTGTCAAGTGAGACTAAGTAGGAGTAGCCTGGAGTCTTACTAAAGCATATTTGATACTTAACAAGGGGATAATCTTTATAAAATTATGTACATTTCAGTATCTTGGTAATACTTAAGCTGAACTGAAGTTTTCCAGTAATTTCCGACTATATTATTTGTACATTTTCTTGCCCAATGTATGCATTTAGGGTAACTTACTGTCTTGGGTAGTCAATTTCAGAACTTTGGATTTTGAATTAATGCAAAATCTGTGAGGGGGGAGGATCCATTTTTGATTTATACATAATCATATTTTAAGGGTTGTGGGTCTAGTGGGTTGCAGGAGATCTGGGATGTGAGGCATGCTCCAGAAAGACTGATATTTTCACCTAAATAGCCTCTTAGTTGTATAGCAAAATACCTGGTCTCACAAAAATAGTATTGTAATTCTGTAAGACAGTCTTTTCCTAATAACAGAAAAATTAGTCAAAACTACTTCTAGGTAAGACTGAAGTGAAAAGTTTTAATAGTGTCTGTAGAAATCACAGTATCCTATGAGTAGCAAATGATAAAATGTCATGCAGGTGCAAGCTCTTCACTAGGTACTCACAAGAAGGAGGATTGTTTTAAGAATGTTTAAAGCTTACAAACCTGTGTTAATCCCTGATCCTGTTTGAGATCAAGATTTTAATTCTTCAAAGGTGAAGTCTGTCAGAGCAAGCCAGTACTGTGGGAGGACAGGGTGGAGGGGAAACCTGAGAAATCTTTTTTGCTAAGAATTCTACAATCTGTTAACAGTTTTTAACTTTGCTGGGTGCTGACATACTCAGGTGGTGGTTGGATTGTTTGGTTTGGAAAAAATGAAGAAAGGGCAGGGGTTTAGATATGAAAATGGAAAAGGATAATGTGGAATAACCAGTGTGTGTAGTGTCTGTGGTCAGAACCGCTCCCAGTGTTGTTAATTTGTAAATAGGAGGGAGGAAGTAGAGCAATGCAGACTGGGTGTATGTATAGAAACTGAGTTACCCTTACAGGGTAGGAGTAGCAAAACTCAGTTTCTTAACTTTCCTTTCAAACTCAGTACACTAGAGAATATTGTCTTGTGTAGCAAGGGATAAGGAAGAAATCACTTAAGATTCCAAATAACAGGCAAGCTTCAATTTGACTTATTTTGCTAAGTAGGTGTCCTGGATTCACATTAAAAACTGATGCATCTTTGTGTGCCCAGGCTCTCACTAAGCAATTTTACTTGCAGGGAAAGTTGAGCTCATGTGTGATTTAAGTTGTCTAGAAATCTTTAAGTAGAGGTGTTTGTTGCTGTGCTGTGTTCTGATTTAATACTTTTCCGTATTAAATCAGAACATGCTGTGTTCTGATTTAATACTTTTCAGTATTAAATTAGCACACAGTGGTAAAGGATTTTTTCAGGTTTTCCCCCTTTAGTAGTTTAATACAAGCACTTGAGTGCTTGTATTCCCCCTTTAGTAGTTTAATACAAGCACTTGACTTCACAGGGGAGGCAGTCTGTTGGAATGGTGTCTGTAGCAGTAACAAATGTGAAGCCAAGTCTAAAAGTTTTGTTACGAATGTGGACCCATGGCGGGGAAGACTGTGTGAGAAGGTGGAGATATGAGGTGCTGGGATTCTATGAGTTTGCCATATGTTACTCTAACTTACTGGACTTGAGCACTGCAGTATGAAAAGTTCTTGACGGCTTGCTGCTGTGTGTCTGTAGCATTGAAACAAGCCACCATGACCAGAGGGAATGCAGAGGCTTTCACTTGCTCACTGAGGTGTTGGCATTGTTCTGTATCTGGGATAAGATTGAAAGTCTGCAGTATAGAAAATCCAGAAATGTTCAAGGTGAGATATTTGGAACCTGACTTCTGCCATGTATCTGCTTGTTAGTTTTGGACACTGTAAATAAACCTTGGGTTTCTGGTACTTAGGTGTAAAATAGGGGGACAAATGTCATAATTAGTGAGGATATAATAAAGTACCTTTGTTTTCTAGGATGGGAGGTGTTTATGTAAAGGAAAAAAACAAAAAACAAAAAACCCCAAAACCCAAACAAATTTAAAAACCCAACAAAAAACCCCAAATAAAACGCACAACCAAAAAAACTATAAACGCCCACCATAAAACCTGGAAGGAAACTTGGATACTTGTTTTTGTCAGGAATCAATATAATGTTAACAACTCATTCTTTCTTCATTGTTAACAGAAATTCACTCATGCTTTTGGATGACTAATTCTGTGGCTCTTCTAGCACCTTTGTTCATTCCTTCCTCCTCTTTCTCAGTCCTTCCATGCGTAGGAGTTGACTGTTAACTTCTTTTCAATTCCAGTGCTCCATTCCACGTAATTTATTAAACTTTGTGTAACATGCATTAACTTAAATGGAAAAAGCTTCTAATAGTGACTTTTTTTTCTTCTACAGAGAAACAAGAAAAAGAAGTTGACATGTATGCTAACCTTTCAGATGAAAAGGCCTTTGTATTTTCAGTGGCCTTGGCGGAAATAAACAGAAAAATTATCAATCAAAGACTTATTCTGTAACTTGTAAACACAATCTGATGCATTTATATGCAGAATTGCTAGTGTATTTCCAAGGTGTCATGGGCTCTCGGAAAGTGTTTTGTCTGTACTGACAAGGACCATGGTATTTCTTTTTAAAATTCTGCTGCTGTTCTTGGAAATCTGTCTCTACAAGTCAGAAAGAAAGAGTTCACAAGATTGTGTTATGAAAAATCATAAAGCAGATGTTTTACGCCTTGAAGACAAATGCCCAGAGAGACTGCACCCATTCCAGAGCACTTCTTTTAAATTTCCTGCCAGAAATGCAATATTTTAAATATTTCCAGAAATAAATGGTTTTCCTTTAAAATTATATATTTCAGATTCTTCAGCTATATTCCAGTTTATGTATGTATAGTTCACATAACTTTTTAATAAATTGATACTCCAATATTTTATTGAACTGGGCATTAAGTACATGTGTGGTATTTAGTATGTGTTGGTTTTAATCCTCTTAGAAATCTGGTATTCTTCCTAGCTGTGACTTTAGATTTGCACTTTTTTAAAAGGTGTGATATAATTGATAGAAAACTAAAGTGGTTTCACTTTGGGGGGTTATTCTGCTTGAGAACTTCAAATTGTTCATTAATTCTGTCTAGAAAATGATTCCCTGTTACACAGTGTTGTTTAAAAATTGCATAACTTTTGGGGTCAGACCCAGAAGTTTGAGAACTAAGTGCTGTTTTGTAACAACTATTTGCTGGGTGTCAGCCTTGTCCAGGTGGTAAGTATTTCTCCCAAACTCTTAGCCCACTACTGGAGAGGGAGAGAAGCAGGTGTCAGAAATGCAGATCTGCTGCTAGCATCTTCTTACTGGGTATTGCCAAAAGACAAGAGGAATGTTAGTGCCATTTACTGTCAATAGCTTTTCTGTCTGTCTTTTGAAAGTAATTCTTAGCAGTATTGTTTTTTTGACTTGTGACTGTAAACATCAAAGCAAAAGTCTACCTGAATGTACAAAATGTGCTATTTTGATAGAAAAAGGTTTGGGGAAGACATTCAACAAAGTCGTCTTTGTATGGTATAGTGCAATTTTGGCCCAAACCCTTACTTTAGTAAATATACAGGGTTTGTCTTGCCAAGGAGAAAGAAAAAAGAGCTCAAGCCCTGTAAAATCCTGGGGAAGCAGGTGCAGGAGGTAATTGCATTCATAAAACCTGTCATACTAGCTTTTTGTCACCTTTCATTCACTCTTTTCTAAGAAGGGGAATGCAACTAAATGTATTTTCTTATGTATTACTCATGCTTTTCAGTATTGCGTTACTGAGTACTGAGAATTACCTAATGAGATTATGCTACAGAACTGATCTCTGGGTAGAAGCAGAGGTTTTTATTAATAAAGCTAGGCTATCAGATATTGATTGTTAGTTATTTCTGAAGGGGAAGAGCTATGGTAGTTTTGAGTTAAGCCACAAGGGACAGACTGATCAGATGGAAGCTTTGTAAGCAGAATCAGGAAACTTGGAAAGTGATTTCTAATTCTTAACTCTAAAGGAGTAATTGGGTTCCTTTTAAGACTGGATGAGAGGAATGGATGTGAAAACGCACTTAAACCACTAATACACACTTGTCTTTATTCCAGTAAGCAAGGAATTGTGAGCGCAAAACCTAACTTCACTACATCATGCAGGTTTCTGCTTTCCACAGCTATAGCCTGTCACAGATACCAGTAGTAAGGACACATGTGTAACTATTAAGGATAGAGGATATGTTTGCATGGTAAGTTATTAAGTCAGAATGACAGAAGAGAAATTCTGATTTTGACAATTTGAGGATATGATCAGGCTTGTGTTGTTTCTGTTGGTAGAATGCAGCCCGTTTGGTGCTCTGACCTGCGTTTCTACAGTAATCTTTTTGTTTCTGCTCTGTACATGGAGTCAGTGATCCTCGGAGACCACTGTTAATGTGTATTAGATATGGCAAAATTTAAATTAGAATTTTTATATATAGATTGGTGACTTCTCTGATAAGTACACAAAAATACGTTCATATCTCTCAAAAGCATAATGCTATTTCTTTCTCTTCCTTGCTGGAGCCTCTTGAAATAGTGGTTGATTTCTGTTTCTGCACTTCCTCCCTTTAACTTCCCCAGGTCTCTTCTGTCAGCTCTTTCCCACTTGTCATAGAATCATAGAATACTTAGGGTTGGACAGGATCTTAAGATCATCAAGTTCCAACCCCCCTGCCATGGACACGGACACCTCATGGTAAACCAAGTCACCCAAGACTCCATCCTGTCTGGCCTTGAGCACTGCCAGGCATGGAGCATTCACAACTTCTTTGGGCAACCCATTCCAGTGCATCACCACCCTCACAGTAAAGAACTTCTTTGTTATATCTAACCTAAACTTCCCCTGTTCAAGTTTGAACACATTACCCCTTGTCCTGTCTCTGCAGTCCCTAATGAAGAGTCCCTCCCCAGCATCCATATAGGCCCCCTTCAGATACTGAAAAGCTACTATGAGGTCTCCACGCAGCCTTCTCTTCTCCAGGCTGAACAGCCCCAACTTTCTCAGCCTGTCTTCATACGGGAGGTGCTCCAGTCCCCTGATGATCATCCTCGTGGCCCTCCTCTAGACTTGTTCCAACAGTTCCATGTCCTTTTTAGGTTGAGGACACCAGAACTGCACACAATACTCCAGGTGAGGTCTCATGAGAACAGAGTAGAGGGGCAGGATCACCTCCTTTGATCTACCGGTCACATTCCTTTGGATGCATCCCAGGATATGGTTGGCTTTCCGGGCTGCGAGTGCACACTGAAGCCAGCTTGCGTTCAGTTTCCCATTGACCAACACCCCCAAGTCCTTCTCCGCAGGGCGGCTCTGAATCTCTTCACTGCCCAACCTGTAGCTGTGCCTGGGATTGCTCCGACCCAGGTGTAGGACCTTGCACTTGGCATGGTTAAACTTCATAAGGTTTGCATCAGCCCACCTCACGAGTGTGTCAAGGTCCCTCTGGATGGCATTCCTTCCCTCCAGCGGATCAGCCGAGCCACACAGCTCGGTGTCATCAGGAAACTTGCTGAGGGTGCACTCAATTCCACTGTCTGTGTCAGCGACAAAGATGTTGAGCAAGACCGATCCCAACACCGACCCCTGAGTAACACCACCCGTTACTGGTTTCTTACTGGACATTGACCCATTGACCACAACTCTTTGCATGCGGCCATCCAGCCAGTTCTTTATCCACCGAGTGGTCCACCTATCAAATTGATGTCTCTCCAATTTAAAGACAAGGGGGACAGTGTTGAACGCTTTGCACAAGTCCAGATTGATGACATTTAACTGCTCTACCCCTGTCCATCAGCTCTGTAGCCCCATCAGAGAAGGCCACCAAATTGGTCAGGCAGGATTTCCCCTTAGTGAAGCCATGCTGGCTGTCACCAAGCACCTTGTTGTTTTTCATGTGCCTTAGCATGCCTTCCAGGAGAATCTGCTCCAAGATTTTGCCAGGCACAGAGGTGACGCTGACTGGTCTGTAATTCCCTGGGTCATCCATTTTCCCCTTCTTGAAAATGGGGCTTCTATTTCCCTTTTTCCAGTCATTGGGAACTTCACCTGACTGCCATGATTTTTCAAATATGATGGACAATGGCTTAGCAACTTCATTCACCAGCTCCTTCAGGACTTGCAGATGGATTTCATCAGGTCCCACGGACTTGTGTACATTCAGGTTCTTAAGATGGTCTCGAACCAGTTCCTCTCCTACACTGGGCCTAGGGTCTTCGTTCTTCCAGTCCCTGTGTCTGCCTTCCAAGACTTGGGTGGTGTGGTCAGAGCATTTGCCAGTGAAGACCGAGGCAAAGAAGTCCTTCAGAACCTCAGCCTTCTCCAAATCCAGGGTAGCCAGTTCTCCCAATAGCTTCCAGAGAGGGTCCACATTGTCCTTAGTCTGTCTTTTATTTGTTACATACCCATAGAATCCCTTCCTGTTATCTTGCACATCCCTTGTCATGCTGTTTTTCTTCTAGTTGCTTTGAGACAGCTATAGTGGAAGCAGGTGGCCTTGAAAATATTTTAGGCAGAGAGTGGTTGCCAGAGGATCTTGTAAAGTAGGAGTCCTGGCTTTCTTTTCCCACCAACCAGAAACAAATCGTTCTTTCCCATATAGACGGAATACTTCAGCATCTTTCAAAAGCCCTGGTAACTCTGACTTTGGAACACCAAGACACAGGTTTCTTGGAAGTTAATGACTGAACTGTAAAGTGTATTGTATTCTGCATTGTGTGTAATAGGCAGCAACATGATGGCATGTGAAGAGCTCTTTCACTGTTAGAAATGATCAATGGATGAAACACTGTGGCAAATCAGTGTAGATTATAGTTGTACAATGTATTGGCACAGCTAGATGAGGAGAGAGTAAAATTGTATTTAATGTAGCTCTGACTTACTCAGAACTGAAAGCATGGTTTCCAAGCATGAATAAATGTGGTAACACTTCAGGAAGCTGCTTATGCAGTTTTTTTTGTGGTTCCAATTCCAGCATAAGATTTTAGTCCCTGCTTTTGAATGTCTTTGTGGTTCAGTCTAACTTAATTTGTTTCACTGCATTTTGTGGCATGAGACCTCACACAGAAAAATAGTGGTCTTTCACAAAAAAGTGAATTGGGCTGTGATTTAATTAACTTGAAAGATGATCAAGTATCTCACCATCACAAAAATACCACTCCACCTCCATACTGCCTCTACATGTTGACTTGTCCAGCTAGATAATCTTGATATTTTGAACTGAACAGTTTAGAATTGTAGTGGAGAATGGTCTGGTGATAAACCACTATCTAGAAAGTTCTGCTTTCTGTCACTTCTTTTCCTGTTTTTCCTGTCTTTTTTTTTTTTTCCCAGAAGAGCTATGCTTCCAGTGTTTATAACTGTGTGATAGCAGTGTGCCAGACTGCCAAGCAGGCTCACAGTTCAAATTCTGGCTGGAGGTTTGTCTGTATTTACTATGATCTGCTACTAGATGGCAGCCTTATTCCGAAGACACTGGAGTAAGGCTTACTGTCTAGTCAGGCATTCTTACTATTGATATTAAGGTAGAGCAAAGTATTCAGTTTTCAGTGAATGCACACAAAGTTTATTTTTTCTTAGAACATCACTCATAGCATGGAAGCTTAAATCCTGCTAAGGTGTTACTGGCTATCTAGGCTAAAAGTAGGTAGTAGTAGTAGTAGTAGTAGTTGTTGTGTGGGGTGTTCACTCTTGGGCTGTGACAATGGGTAGAGATGAATATTGTGTCAAGACCAAAGAACTCTGAACTTTCAGTTGGCACTTTAATAAAAAATGGCTTAGGAAACTCTTCTTCACCTGCCCTAAAGTCCCATAATGTAAGTTTTCTTTGGTGAAATTTTACCGACATCTCTAATTTTCCTATTACTTTTATACTGTTATAGCTGATTTAAAAAAA